GGGAAACACTTCTCTCTCTCTCTCTCTCATATATATATATATCAAAATGTTCAAAATTATTTTTATGTTTTTTTAAATAATATTATTTATTTTTTAAAATAAAAATAAAAATACTTTGAAACATAGTAAATAAATATTTATTTTTAAAAATAAAAAATAATCCCAAATAATTACAAGGTGATGGAACAACTAAAATATTATTACTATGAATTTCATTATTTATATCTTTTCATATCACAAATCAAACTCAATATATAATCGTGCATAATAATTATGACATCTTAATTAATATATTCATAATATAATAATTTATCATTTTCATAAAAATTTATATTTACAATTCTGTTTCACCCGGCCATTTATATATATAATATAATAAATAATAATCTTAATATTTCAGCGAATATTTATAAAATATTAATTTATAACAGTAACAAAAGAGTACATTATTTGCATTATCTCATTTACTTGGCAAATCAATGTGCAAAGTGAACTTTATTGATGGGACTCCATACATTTCTTTTAAATGAAGAACACACATGCATATGCAATAGGTCCATAGGATGAGCATGCTTGTAAGTTGGCTTGTAAATTTTAATCATAGCATAATCATTTCAATGACATAAGTGCAAATGAGTCAATCCAACTCGTGAGCCTGTCTGAGCTCGGCTTCTTAACCAGCTCGCAAGTCGAGCTTATCAAGTTTCGAGCTCGGGCAGATTTTCGAGTTCGTTGGATTATTGAGCTCGAGTTCGATCGGGATAAAGCTCAACTCAATTACTTGTCGTGCGGCTTGAGTATAGAAGGTGGAACCCCGGAAGGCAGAAGTGGAAGCACGGGCGTGGAAGCAGTAGCGAAGGCACGATTTGAAGCCCCTTAAGAAAAAAAAAACTCTTGAACATCGAAGCGCTTGTAGGTGTAATAATTGGAATTTCATTAACAAACTTCACAGTTAAGTGCGCTCGTCCTGGAGAAATCCTTGAATGGATGACCTATAGAGAAGTTGCACCAACATAACAAAACTTTGAGGCCCTTAGGCAAAACAGATAATATCTCTATCATTAAGAGTTTGGGCTATTACAAATGATATCAGAGCAATACACTAACTGGAAGATGGAAACTAAGTATCAAATAAGACAATTTGTTACACTATGGAAGCCACCTCTTAAACCCTATATTGGATAGAGTGCTATGTAGCACGAGTCACCACTTGAACTTGTAGAGGCTACATCGAGAATCCTATCTGTAAGGTTGATGATTCTAGGATAAAGTTACTGACAAGGACGTTAGTTACTTAAGTGTGGGAGATTGTGAAACCTCTTTAACAAAAATAAGCTAAACTCGTAAACATCCAAGCGTCTTTTGATGTAATGGTTAAAATTTTATTAAGAAATTTCGCATTTAAGCGAGTTCATCTTAGAGAAGTTCTAGGATTGGTGACATTCTGGGAAGTTACACCAACATGATAAAACAATGAAACCCTTAGGCAAAAGAGGACAATATTTTAATATTTAAGAGTTTAGGTTGTTACACATGGCAGCTTGGGCGCAGTCGAGTGGAAGCACGAATGTAGAAGCGAGATTAGAGCGGGAAGAGAACCTTACGCCTCGCGAGCTCCCATCCATCGCCACCAGTAGAGATCGAGCATACCATTTGAGCTCAAATCGAGCTTGAGCTCGAGTTCAAGCTCAAGATTGGGATGACGAGACGAGCTCGAGTTAAGCATGACTCAAATTTGACTCAACTCATTTGCACCCCTAACATGAAATGATAATTGTAATAGAAAGAATACATAATATAATGAGTATGCCTTCTTAAATTAATAATAATTTATATTTTGGAACATAGAATATAATTTATAATTGAATATTACTTAAAATTTTGTGTGATTCATATCTAAATCATTCAGCTAAATATATTATATCTATTCATGAAAATAAATATATCAGCGCATCATATTCATGCAAATAAAATATATTTATAACACATACAATTTTCTTTGATAAATGATGATTCGGCATATCAATATAATCGTCTCAAGCACGTCAGCTAATAACACCAAAAACTACGTAAATAATAATAATAATAAAATGATTTTTTAGAGGAAGATTTTATTTTAGGCATTTTAAAATAATATTTATTTATTTTGGTGACTCTCACGTGATAAATAAAATATTCTAAGTTATCCTTGAGTTGGAATATATCCAAAAATTGGAAAATCTGTAAATAACAAAAATACCATCCTCATTTGACCGGACATCATTCGTAGGCAAATCAGGACGCATAATGTCACAATTTTGTTATGTATTGCGGCTGTGTATCAGGTGACGCTACGAATCTTGATTCACCTCCGGACGATCTGGCGACCGCACGAGACCGCGCGCACGTAATAATTTCTCCATCATCACATAGTATTTAATCTTTTCTCTTTACAATGACAGCCCAACCAACCCAGCTGAAATAATTTATAAGAAAGATTGTAAATAAGTAATACTAAGTCTATTTATTTTATTTTGTATTATACTTAGCATGTAACATTAATTACTATACGTTTTCACAATCACGCATAAGAAGTTGAGAAATCGCATATATTAATTTAGCCAAATTGGGTCAATTTAGGCTGCCTCTCTCTAGACATTTTAACTCGGAATTATTTTGAGTTTTGATATATCAAGTTGTGGGGAGGAAAAAAAAGTATGTTTGTACTATAGCTGACCAAAAGAAAGAAAAAGATTTTAGTTGTTTTTTTTCTTCTTCTTTCTTTTAGTTATTATTTACTTTTTTCTAAACATAACTTTGTTCGATATTATCTAGATCGTAATGTACACTCGTACATGTCCATATGTGTATTTCATGGGTACTTAGATATGTTTTAGTCAAATTATTTGGCCAGAGTAGTCACATTGCCCATCAAAGATACTCACTCGCGAGCATGGAAATGTAACTTTCATAAACGACAGGATTGAAGAGTCATCCAAGGCATGCACACCAAGGAACTTGTAAGGATTTGTTCAAGTCATCATAAAATCACTTATCTTGGCAAAAATTGATCTTTCGAGGTCACTCACTGTCATTCACACCATCTCTGACATCTCTCGATCCAACAACGGAAGTGTACACCATAAGGTCTATGATTATGACCCTTCAGACTTGGTCTATCATCTATTTCTAAGCATCATCACCCAAGAGGACTCACCTCTTACACTCAGAGGTCCATATATGAGATCTAAGGACTTCAAACTAAGAGGATTGCCCACACAGACTCATCCTGCATGCTACACCAGGAAAACTCACCCGCCTAGTACACTTACATGTGAAGATTTACCTTATAATAGAGAGCCATGTCAAGTGCCACATGGATGCCTAAAAGACAAGTTGAGTGCCTAGTACAGTCTATAACGGGTTATACCAAATATTGTATTTTAAAAACTTTTTTGGTGTAGACTTCCTTTTAAAACTTTTTTTGGTGTAGACTTCCTTTTATGACTTGATGGAGATGGAAAAACTCACTAAGATGATTCAAGCCACACTAGGATGACTATCAAGGAACACTCCAAGGGAGAGCACTCCAAAAGATAATTTGAATCAACTATTCATCACACGAGGTGAAAACAGTGTGCTCACTTCGGCGCCCAATGCTGATCTAACTCACAAACCCAATAATAATAAGGATAGAACCCAAGCTAACCAACACATTCTCCAGGGAGAAAACAAAAGTGATGCCACCTCCCATGTTCATGTTACCAACTTGGAGTCCTATAGGGGAAGGATCGGCCCTTCTAACGATGATGCCTCTTTTGAGTTGGTGGCATTATTTCTCAACATCAATGACGCCTTGAAGTGTTGGTTATTCTTTACCATCATCAAGGAGTCGATGCTCTAATAGTTAACTCACCCGACGGCGAACATCATTACCTCCTTCACAAAATTCAAGAGAATGTTCATCACAACTTTATGAGGACCCAAAGACCCCTAACGATCTTGCAAGCATGCACATAGTTTAATTGTTCGATACTAAAAAGAAATGCCGGAGATGAAAAGACATAGAGTCGGTTGTCACGCAGGCTTGTCTAGCACAAGCTTATTATGTTGCACCATGGGACTAAATCAACCCAAAACATTGGTTGAACTACTTGAACTCACCAATATCATGTCAAAGCAGACGAGTATAACTGATTTAAGTCATCTTCAATCGTTCGCCCCACCGAATTTCATCACAAGGCATGATCAACATCAAGATCTAAAGCACAATAAAAGTTACCCAACAAGTAAATAATAACAAAGCCATTTTCCAAAGAAGTAAAATTTTGTTATGACATATCAATTACCATCTTGATAATATTTAACAAAATTATTTTTTTAAAAAAGTAAATAATAACTAAAGGAAAAATAATAATAATAAACCAACTAAAATCAATTGTTTGTCCTATGCAAACCAAAAGAAAGCAGTAGATTTTAGTTGGTTTATTAATTTTTTTTCCTTTAGTTATTATTTATTTATTTTTAATTAAATATGATAAAGATAGTAATTGATACAACACAAAAAAAAATCATTTCGATGTAACATCAAATCAATATTGTTCAAAATTTCAATTTCAACAAATTTATAAGCAAATTTAACATCTTGATGAGGCAAGTCAAAATGACCACTTAATGTACAACTAAATACTTACTAACATTAATTGGAGGACCCAATAACCTTTAATTTTATATGCATATAATCAAATCAAACATCTTGACAAGAAAAATCCAATAAATCACTATCAATAAATAATTTTATAATCCAATCTTCTCCAAATTGAGAAGAACAAAATTTTGTAATCTTACAATTTATGCCAGACCTGATTTTTTTATTCCTCTATCCAAGTTTTTTCATATAAAAAGTTTAATGCTTCCATAATTTTTTAACCTATATGTGTGTGTTAAATATTCATACAAAATTAAGGTGCTAAATAGTAAATTCCATACCGCAACTGTAATATATCTAGTTGAATTTGCTTGTATTAGAATAGTAATAAGATTAAAATCATCTACAAAAGGTACGCCAAGTGAGATATTCTGTCAAAAATTTAGTCAAGATGATTATTAAAATTATTGAATTTATTTTAAAATAAATATAAAAAAATAATTAATAAAAAATTATATTATACTCATCTCAAAATAAATTCAATGTATTTGCAATCTATTATGTATTCTCATTATAAAAAAAACAAAGTTGTTCGTCCACCGGGCCACAAAAATAACATGCCACCTATTAAAACAGCTAATTAGTGTAAAACCATGCCAAAATAACGAACAATTATTAAGTCCTCCGACCGGACATAGAGGAACGTCCGGTCGGAGGCCAAATCCTGCCAAAAAAATGAGTGTACCGAGCAATACCAAACAATAACGAGGAATACCATTATTTGAAGACTCAATACCGAGTTATACCGAGCTAAACCGAGAAATACCGAGTTATACAAAAGTTGTACTGAGTTTTTTCTAGAAAAACTCGGTACAACTCGGTATTTCTCGGTACAGCTCGGTATTGATTTTCAAAGAGCGGTATTCCTCATTAATATCAAATAATACCTAGTTGTACCAAGCAAATACCGAGTTTTTTGGTTGGATTTTGCCTCCAACCGGACGTTCCTCTACGTCCTTACACCGGACGTAATAAAAGTTCCAAAATAACACACCACGTATTCAAAATTTTTCCGACGCAAAAATTGTACCACAGACGGACCAGCACATACATAGCAGGAAAATAGTAGTCGATGGAAACAAATTTTATTTCAGGATATTCTAATTAAAAACTAATAAGAATGCCTTTCAAAGCCATTAAATTTATTTTAAGACGAACATAATATATAAATAAGTATTCATCTTAAAATAAATTTAATAAATTTGAAATTCATCAAAATTAAAAATTTAGATTTCATTTGAAACAGCTTTCTTATTATTTTCTAAAACAACTTTTTTCTAACTTATTTAAAAAATAATAAGAAAGTTGTTCCAAAATGAAACCTTAATTAGAATATCCTGAGCTTCTACTTAGGCTTCGTTTGGGACGGCTTTCTTACTGCTTCTTTAAACAGATTTTTAGTTCAAAAATTAAAATTTTAATACTAAAAAAACAGCTTCAAGAAGCAGTAAGAAAGTTATCTCTAACCAAACCTTAAACTTCTTGAGGGCCACTGGGTATTGGCTGGTAGCCATTCTGGTGGTGAGATGGGCGCTTCGCAGAGCCAACTGGAATGCATTTGAGTAGAACGGCTATAATCAAGCTCACTGATCCAATAATAACGCTGAGCAGCCATAGTTGCCAGTTCAAAGGGACGGTGGAGGCAAAGGCACCGAGAAACTCCACAATGATAACTTGGAAGACTACGGTGGATATAAGAACAGCGGAAAAGACCCAGCTGCTAAAAATTCCTCGAAAGACGTTGATTTTCTCCATTTCTCGGCTGTTTATTTCATTGAATAGCTGGTCGGCATATGAGTCCATCAGGCACAAAATATTAGTTTTTGCTACTAACTATTATTCACTCAAAAGATTAAGATTCAACAGCTAGGGAGCATGCTTACTGACATAACTAAGGATTCAAGTTAAATGCTTTTACAGCTTTGGGCTGCTTGTTTAAGATTACCTTGAATTGTGTTGATGCTTTTGTTGGGTGCAACAATGGCTTTGGTACCCAGTGGCTAGTTTAGTGGTGCAGAATAGATAAGAAATTTGGGGATTTCATTTAGAAAGTCAAGCAGGTCAGTGGAGCAAAGGACATCTTATAGCGTAATAACTGAACACTCAGGCAATTAGATCATCTTCATAAGGATCAGTTTGGAAAAATCGGTTACGATATACTTGACAAATCCAAGTAATCCCTATCAAGAGAGAAGAAAACAGAAAAAACAAAAAAAAAACAAACAAACAAGATTCAAATGGGAAAATTCAGCAAAAACAACACCTTTTGATTAACGGGAATCAAATAAACGAAGAAACAAACAAGATACTAGGATCTTCTCTCCCAATCCCTAGAAGAAATATAAGGCCCAAGACTCCAAGACAAGAACCCTCAAAAATAGCCACCAAAATATGCATATCCCTAACCCTAAACAACTCTTGTTATTTAATCCCTACTTCCCTAATTTCAAACTCCGGATTCAAACTTTTCCCTCCTACTCCTAGCCGCCGCCCCCTTCTTTCCTAATTGACCTGCCTAGTGGGCCCACTAGACTTGGGCGGCACTCTCAAGGGGGCGGTTTGTCCGCCTCCTGTAATAAAAAACCGGCCCTTGTGCTGGTTGGGCCGGTTCAAGGATAACCGGCCTAACAAAATCAGCCAGGAATCTCCTTAAGGCTCATGTTTCACAGCTCATATTAAGCTGCCTCAATGGCGCTTTTACATTAGACTCACCTTAAAATGTCAAATTTTGTTCATTAAAATTTATGTGTAATATAATAGGTTTTACCCCCCACGCATTTTCTAACAAGCTGCTTATCAAGAAAATAAGTTTAGACGTAGAAAACTCCCTACTACTAATAAGAACGCCATGAAAAAAATTGTAGAAAAAAAATTGATATAGTTACTAAGAGAAGAAATTTTCAGAATCTAGCAAAGATAGTATTGATTAGATTAACTAAAATAGATATTTTAATTTAAAAATGAACGTGGATAGAATTTGTACCTGGCAAAACACGAATGTGTTGAATATGAAAGTATCGAGCACGATATCGGCATCGGATCCACTTAATTTGAGCAGCTGCTTTCCATCAAACATGAGAACTCCGAGGACCAGAAGTTGATAGACACTCTGGCCGATGACATTCCTCCACATAGCCTTTGTAATGAAACTCTCACCACGGCCGGTTGGAGGTCTCTTCATCATTTCATCATTTGGAGGTTCTGTTGCTAATGCTAAGGCACCAAGCGTATCCATAATCATGTTAACCCATAGCAGCTGCACAGCAGTGAGAGGAGCATTCCCTGAACAGCTAAAAATGTGAGTAATGAACTATTATAGAATTAAGGCTTTGTTTGGGACGGCTTTTTCATTGCTTCTTAAAGCAGCTTTCTAGCATAAAAAATTTAATTTTTAAACTAGAAAGCTGCTTTAAGAAGCAACAAAAAACTTCCCAAACAAAGCCCAAGTCAATCTAGTAGAAACGTTTCCAAGAGAAAGAAAAGAAATTCATGGATGAATCACTTAATTGGATACCTATTATACATGCAGAGACAAAATTGACTATAAGAGCAACAACATTCACAGTCAGCTGGAACTGTACAAACTTTTGAATGTTAATATACACAGCACGGCCCCATTTAGCGACATTTATAATGGTGGTGAAGTTGTCATCTAGGATAATCACATCAGCATTCTCTTTCGCAACCTGTAAGCAAATAACACAAATTTAGTGCAGCTTTCTCACCTGTCAATGATGAAGAGAGTGAGCAAACATGAAGAAGATCAACAATAACAGGCTAGAATCTATGATCTAATGGATAGTGCAAAAGGATGATGGTATATAACGGACGTGATGGTATCTGAAGATTGCAAATTAGTTAATAGAACCAGAGTATCAAAATAAGAAGAATTTTTTTTTTTTCCCTTCTGTTGTACTTTACTACGAAGGGATTTGATTTATCCTAAAAGCATGTGTTTTCAAAGCATACCGTATGAAGGCATTCTACAAATTTACATTCATCTTTACATAAATCAATTAGGAATTTAACAGTAGAATCTATTCTGATAGAAAATGAAGTACGCATATTAAATACTGATTGAGGGATCCGAAAATTTGCATCAGAGACTCTTTGCGCCTTTTTTGTCGTCGGGGAGAGTTTTAACGAGATTATGCTCCGGAGTATATTTTCAGCAGTTAGATTGGATTTTTAGATAAAACACTAAGATTTCATCCTCATTTTATGATGACTTTATGAACTAAGATCTATTTCTCATAAGTGCAAGCCCCTATAGTTAATTACCCCTCACAATAACAAGAGAAAACTTTCAATTAAAGCTAGTCATTAGATAGATATTAAATATCCATCCAGCATATAGTAACAACAACTTTAGGGTTTGAAGAATTTTAAGGAGATTATGTTCCGGGGGTAAACTCTCAGAATGCAAATTGAATTTTTAAATAAGACGTTACTCAAAGATTTCATCCTCATTTTGTAAGGATTTTATGATCTTAGATCTAGGTTCTCATAAGTGCAAGCCCCTATAGTGAAAGCAGATAATGAAATATTGGATTTTTAGATAAGATGCTAAGATTTCATCCTCATTTTATGATGGCTTTATGATCTAAAGATCTGCTTCTCATAAGTGCAAGCCCCTATAATTAATTACCTCCCAATAACTATAGAAAACTTTCGATTAAAGCCAATCATTAGATAGATACTAAATACCCAACATATAGTAGAAGCACCTTTAGAGTTTGGAGAGTTTTAACGAGATTATGTTTCCATGTAAACTTTCCGAAGGCATATTGAATTTTTAAATAAGACCTTTCTTAGAGATTTCCTCCTCATTTTGCAAGGATTTTATGATCTAAGGTCTGATTTCCCATAAGTGCAAGCCCCTATAGTTTAAGCAGATAATTAGGTATTTGATTTTTAGATAAGATACTAAAATCTCGTCCTCATTTTATGATGACTTTATGATCTAAGATCTATTTCTCATAAGTGCAAACCCCTATAATTAATTAACCCTCCTAATAACAAGAGAAAGCTTACGATTAAAGCTATTTATTAGATAGACACTAAATAACCAGCATATAGTACCAGCAACTTTAGGGTTTGGAAATTTTTAAAGAGATTATGTTCCCAAGTAAACTTTTAGAAGACATATTGAATTTTTAAATAAGATGCTACTCAGATATTTCATCCTCATTTTGGAAGGATTTTATGATCTGAGGTCTGGTTTCCCATAGTTATAGCAATAACTTTAGGGTTTGGATGTTGATTTTTAGGGTTTTGAAATTTATCACCATATACTTAAAGCGGATAATGAGAGAATGATAGCATGCCCGACCAAGATCTCATTATTCAGTTGTCTCGGGCTAATATTGATAGAGTCTCTTCCGATTGAGATTTACTTTCAACATGATCACCATCGATATGATGTTAAAGTCAGTTCAAAATATTTGTATTTTAATAAAAATTTGGGAGTCATTTTGAAAATATAAGATCCCCTTCGGTTGAGATTTACATTCAAGATGACCATCATTGAGGATTTAAATAACTTGTCTTTTTTTGTTGATTATTGTCGGCTCTGTTTGCTTGCTAACAAAGAATCGTGTTTGATCATATTGCATGTTGTATTTTGATGATACCCTTCGGTTGAGATTCACCTTCAACACAGTCTGAATCGGAGTTTTGTAGGTCACTTTATAGTGCTTTGTATTTTTATAAAAATTTGGAAGGCATTTGAAAATATGAGATCCCCTTGGGTTGAGATTCACATTCACAAGGCCATCATCAAGGATTTGTAAGTAATTTTATTTTGTAATTTCAACCTTATCAACTCTAATTGCTTGCCAATAGAGGATTGGGATGAATTGATGATTTTGGAGATTATCATATGAGTGTCATAAATGAGAGTTTGTATTTTAATGGGTGAATTTCCTTTAAGAATGCCTTAAAACCCTAATGTTAACTTGAAAATCAAATTCCTCAATGTATTTTAAGATTGTATATTTATTTGTTAATTCAAGTCATATTGACTTCAATTCTTTCAAGGAGGATGGGACATGAAATTTAGAAAGTTCATTTTTCAATTTTAACCTACGTAACATTATCAGACCTTAGATTTATAAGTTTATTACATCGGTTGGAGTACATTCGGGTATTTTAAAATTCTTTAAATGATGCAAACATTTTCAGTGCATTTAGCATATCGTATTTGCACGCTTTTCAATACATAAGAATAAGATAACATGTTTCTGGTGTACTTGCATATTGCGTTTGCATTTTTCATCTTCTAGCATATATACATTTCAAATATCTGAATATAGATGCATAATGCACTTACACATCGGTGAATTTCCAAAATTATTGGAAAATAGAATTTAATTTTTTTATTTGTAATTTTTAAGTATGAACAATATTATACGATGTCACGCTTGCGTACTCATAACACTCGTCACAGCATATACGAGCTTGCCATTCTTAGAACTTATCTTTTCATGCAAGTTTAAACACATTTGCATTGCGTATTTGCATAACTTTTAGTGCATCCATATGACATCTAGTGCATGTGGTATATTTGCACGCTTCTCAATGTAATTTTAGGATTTTGGTACATTGGGATTCATGCAAATGTCTTGAAAATATCATGATTTGATCATCTTGCTCTCCTTTGAATTTCTTATACGAAATTTGAGGCATTGCGCGTTAGAATTGTAAGATTACTTTACAAAATTCATGCAAGTAGCAATTATTTAAATTTTAATTTCTCGCCTTCACATTTTGTAATTTTTAGAATTTTTAAGTGTTACCTTCTATTCTCTTGTATGAGAGGGTTGTGGAATAGGTGGCAAAGAATGCATTTTAGAGATGAATATGAAAGATCCTTGTACAAATTGACCTATAACATACTTTAGATGTCATCTTGCAAAATTTGTACAAGTGGCAGTTGTGCAGATTTAACTTTTGCACTTTAGTATTTTGAAGTTTTTAGGAATTTTGTCTTCTACTCATTTGCATGAAAAGTGGTGCGGATTTGGTGGTGAAGAAGGCAATTTAGGGAACAAATATGGGATGGACAAGTAAATGACAATTATGACATGTTTTTAATATGTCATACTCTTAGGCTTTTAAATATCATTTTATATTGAACATTGTGAGCCCCACATAATGCTTCTCCTCCCCTATAAATATGGATGGTGGGGGAGGCTCGCTTCATGCAATTCTTAGGTTGATTTAGGTTCTTCGGAATTTTGGTGAAGATCTAGTAGTGCTCGTAGCGAGTTTTGTTTTACTTTAAGTCATGTTCCTTGCTTGTATTTATTTTATTCATTTATTATATTTATATTTTAATTTATGCATTTTTCTTATACAATAATTTGCTTAGATTATTTGGAATTTGCAATGTTTTAAGTTCCTTGTAGTGTTCTTAAGTCTCTTGTAGTGCAAAATTTAAATCCAGATTTTAGTAAAATTCCAGCAGCATCCTGATGTCTCCCCTGTTTAGGCCAAATTTTGGGAGGTGCTGGCCTACCCACCACACCTGAAAGGGTGTGCATGATCGATATCAGGTGCACCGCGACAAGAATTCAAAATTCCCACCACGCCAAGAATTTAAAATTACCACCACGTCTGAAAGGGCGAGCATGGGTAACCTGCACGAGAAATTCGCATTAGGTAAAACACTCGATCGCGCACACCTGTTGTTGTCAAGCCTTCTCCCGCCACGCTCGAAAGGTCATGCACAAGTCATACCTCACAACAACAAGTATGTCACTTACGAATTCATCCACTGCATCGCGAACAACAGTGATGAGCTTCTTCCCACCATGCTTGAAAGGGCATGCATAAGAGTCCCCTCGCTCATTAATCACATCATCGCAAGTTTCTAGGGGGCTTTTGAGTTTTAAGACCATTATACCTACATGTGCTACGTAGGCAAGACAACGCTAAAAATGACGAATCACCTCATTTCATGTGCGCATGTAAAATTTTCATCGATTTTCTTGTGTTAACACTTCACCAATATGGGTGTCTTTTACGGGGTTTTTGGGAGTTTCGGATGCGCTCACGCATTCAACTTTGTGAACAAAGGTCATTTAGGCTACCTCGCACAATGGACGCATTTTGGTGTTTTTGACCACCTTCTCTTGATGTGCTTGTAAAAGGTCCCTCTTGAATAATTTTGACATTCCAGTTACAATGACGCAATCCATTTTGTGATTGGATATCGTTTGGACCAAAAATGCTGGCCTGAACACTGAGGAATAATACCATGATCAACGAGCTCATACAAAAGATAATTATATAAGGAAAATTTAACGACTTCAAAGCTAAATAATGACTTCATAAACCGAAATAACTCAGAGAACGGCTTTCTCTTAAATAGAAGAACGATCTTGCACTAAAACTAGGCAATTTAAAACATCAATTATTCATTGTGATTTTTACTTCAGACTTCTAAACAAGCCTGAAAACCCATGAAATTACTATGGTAGATTAAACTGGGAATAGGAAGTCCAATAAATAAATAAAAAATAGGAGGGTCTAAAAAATATCCATGACTGTGGAACTGACAATACCTCTGTGCCTGAAATACCCATTGCTAGACCGATGTCTGCCTCATGTAAAGCTGGAGCATCATTGGTCCCATCCCCAGTGACTGCAACAACTTCACCCATGTTTCTAAGATTGGTCACTAAAGTATGTTTGTCTAGCGGCAATGATCGAGCCATTACCTATTAAACAAGTTCAAGCAAGTATTAAGTAGTTGACTCATCTGGCAAAATAAGAATAAGCAAAACTAAAGTATCAGAATAAAACCTGGAGCTTCGGTATTAATTGCTTCATCTCCTCTGGACTCTTGCTGCGAAATTCTGATCCTTCTATAGCCAGACCATCATCTGTCAATATTCCACACTCTTTGGCAATGGCTTTAGCCGTGTTAATATTGTCTCCGGTCACCATCCGCACTTTTATTCCAGCAGTTATACAAGTCTGAACTGCTTCCCTTACTCCAGATCGTACTGGATCTTTTATTCCAAAAACAGCTATCAGTGTATAACCATCCGTGGAAATTTCATCTTCTTTTGGAACTTCATCCATATCCTTGTAGGCCAAACACAGTGTCCTCAAAGCATCATTGGCAAAAAGAGTAATCACATCCAAGATAGTTTTTGTTTGCTTTTCAGACAAAGGCACAGCATTTCCATTGCAATCAAGGATCTTATCACACAACTGCAAGATAATTTCAGATGCACCTTTGCAAAAAGCTCGAAATCCTCCATCTGGTAGAGAAACAAGAACAGACATCTTCTTCTTAACCGAATTAAAGGGTTCCACCTTCAATTTGTTGCAATCTCGATGTTGAGTAGAATCAACGACTCCTTCAAGATCCAAGCCAAACTCCAATAGTGCAGTTTCAGTTGGAGTACCCAAAATGGTGTTTTTACCATCTTTTCCCCTCACCACTTCTGAACCACTATTTTGGAATATACACTGCAAAAGAATGCCTACTACTTCTCCAGACAAGGTAGCCTTCAAATGCTCTGAAGTCTCCTTACTCCTGAAAGATTTAGATTCATCACAAATCCAAATCTTATCAACTACCATGTGATTGGTTGTCAAAGTTCCAGTCTTATCAGTGCAAATGCATCCTGAAGATCCCATTGTCTCGCATGCTGATAGATGTCTCACAAGTGCCTTATCATCCATCAGTTTCTTCATAGCAAATGCAAGACTCAACGTCACCGCTAAAGGTAGCCCCTCTGGAACTGCAACAACAATTATGGTAACCGAAATTGCAAAGTAATTCAATATTAGCAAGGCATCATCTGGGAACCATTTTAACAAGCCAACATGAATTGCCTTGTCCACTAGAAACCTGGCCAGCAGTACAACAAAAGTTAATGTAGCAAATACCAAGCCTATCTTCCCAATGATTGTAGCAACGCCATTAAGCTTCACCTGCAAAGGTGTTTCATCCTCTCCTCCCTGGCTCAGAGTTTCCATTAGTCTTCCCCATTCAGTTTTCATACCAACTGCAGTCACTAGCATTTTGGCAGATCCATCTTGAACCTTAGTCCCAGCAAGCAGAAATGGCTTTTCATGAGAAACATGCACTGGATCAGCTTCTCCAGACAAGCTCGACTCATCTATTGATAGCGAATATCCAGATATGTAGAGCCCATCAGCAGGAACCTGATCCCCAATAGACAGATGAACAACATCTCCAACAACCAGATCATAGATGGAGACCTTTTGTCTATAGCCATCTCTGGTCACTTGCATGAAAATCTTTTTCTTTTCTCGGTCCAGGTCTCTGAACTGCAGTGATTGTTTGTAATCACTGACAGCTGTAACAGAAACTACCAACAAGATACTTAGAATGATCCCAAGTCCATCGTACATCCCTTTTGGCCACCCTTCAGTGGCTAGCCCAACTCCTATGGAAACTGCAGCACAAACCATCAAAATTATTAAGGTCAAATCTTGCAGTGCATCCCATACAAACATCCAGAAACTTCTAGCAGGTTTCTCAGAAAATTTATTCGCTCCAAAAATATTCTGTCTGATAGACAAATCACTTGTCTTGATGCCATCTTCCAGAGATACAGACAATTTTCTTGATATCCCATCAACACCTCCATGAATTTTTAAGCTCTTCGAATTGTGTTCCCGTGCAATGGTGGCCAATTCATCAGGGCTAATGTAGAAACCAGCTTTCCTAGCCTCCTCAGGAAGCTGATATTCGATATTATTTGCAGCTGTTGGGAAAGAAAATCAAATTCCGATAGTTATATTATAAGATCCACAATTAACGAGAACAAGTCTATACAGAGTTTCAGTAGATATAATACCATCAATAAACGTCAAAGCAGCCTTCTGCACGTAAAGAGCAACTCGAATCTTTTCCTGCAACAAGGGACAGAGAGAAATTTAATAACATATTTAAGGATATTCTTATAGGTCTCAGCCGTAATTCCATGGAAAGATATAGCAGCCACAGTGATCCATATTATTCAAAAAATAATAATAAAAGTAAAAATACTGATATCAATCAGACTATTAAAAAATATCTCCATTCCATCCGCATCACATAGGTCTCCACAGTAGCATAAACATGTTGTTAGTTTTATGTGGAATATGATTGTGTCGATCAAACGGGTTGTATTGCTGCCTCGAACCTCAATTCGATATGTCAGGCTCATTGGGAGGTTGTAGGGGTCCTCCTCCTACTTGAGTTCGAGTACCCGACGGCTCGAAGCTGTGTACCCGATCACACCGGCACTGCATATTTTGCTTGGAGAAAAACAGAAGTGTTGCGGCGCCCCAAACTCGATGCTGCAAGGGAGCAATGGGCGCACCAGACCCAGACGCTGCGGCGCTGTCATACATACAAGAGACAAAGAGTTGAGCGCCATGGTGCCAAATTGGAGTGCCGCGGTGCTATGAAACGGGCTGACAATTTTTATTTCTTTTTTTTTTTTTTCCTTATAGGTTGCATCCCTTGGTAGTTTTACAGTGTCTCTTTGTTTGTTCTTGTGTAGGAATGGTGCTAGAGAGAAAAGCAAGGAGAGAGTAAGATAGAAGAGAGATATGTACTATTTCTTTCAATTTTCATTGTGTATTTCTTAGTGTGATGTGGTTCGGTGGTTTTTTCCCTGTTTTGAATTTTTTCACATTAAATCCTAGTGTTCTTCCTTTTTTGCTACAATTTTCAATTTCTTATTTGTGTTTGTTGTGTGCTTTACTTCCCCCAACACATGCAAATTCTTCATGATGAATAATATAATGAATCTTGAAAACTAAGAGAAAACAAACTTTATCACTGACTAAGAGAAAACAAACTCTATCACTGACTAACGAACCTTTTATTAATAGTTCATGTTGTTCAAATTGAAGAATGTGGGAGCAGGATATCATCATGAAGAATAATATGTTTATAACACAAAAAGGATGTAATTTTAAAATCTACTTAGATGACATCTTGCTTAAAAGCAACAAATCTCAAGGCCACTTGGGTGGCCTTTCTAAATGCTTCTAAAGCTAAGAGCATACACCATGAAGCTCAATCTTGCCCAATGCATTTTTAGCACTCATTCAAGAAAATTTCTTGGTTGTAAGATATCTCCCAAAAGAATCAAAGTCAACCATAACGAGAACGTGATTATGGGGTTATTTTCTCCTCCCTCAACCATAATAGATGTAAGGAAGTAAAAAAAATTATGCTATTTTAAGCTGATTCATCTCTCAGTCAAAAAGAGCAATGCTCCACACCTCAAAGAAGATTGTGAATTTAAGGTAACTGAGGATTATAAGAAAATACTCCAAATGCAAAAATGAAAATGACAATTCCTCAAATTCTAAGCAATCCTAAAACGAGCTAATCTTTACAACTCTATCAAGAAATCCATAACATGGGTTTAGCTTAGTATAAGTTCAGAAGAAAATAAAAAACAACTGCCTATCTATCATGTTATCAAGACTCGGAATGAAGCCGAATTAATTGACAATGCTATGAATGAATTGGCTCTATGATGGGGACATCAAAGCTTGGAAAGTGCATCAGAGGCTTAGCCGTCGATCTACGGCCACGATCGAGTCGATGTAGCTTTGAGTCATTTTCATGTATTTGTCTTTTATTATTTATGTTTTAATTGTTTTCCCGTTTTACCTCTTACTTAAGGGAGGTCGTATGTAAGCCCTTAGGGCATTGTCGTCTTTCTTATTTTGAGTCCTTGTTGTACGAGGCTATTTATAGCCCTCATGTTGCTCTTCTAAAGTTAATGATTGAATGATAAAAAAAATTGTGCTATTGCTTGAGTTCTTGAGAGTGCTTGGAGAGAGAGCAAAATCCCTAGGAGAGGGAAGACGGATCATCCACCAACCTTGGAGACGGCCGAGTTCGTGGTTTGTATTATCGTTCTTTTCTTCAATCTCTCTTCCTCCTAACCGCCGGATTTCCTAGCCACCCCCACCTTGCCGCCGGCCAACGTCTCCCACCACCACCACCTCAAGCCATCACCCTCCTTCCCCCTCTACAACCACCGGCCCGCTTACCCAAAGCCCCACCCCACCGCCGACTCTTCATCCAACCGAACCCAAGCCCAAGCCGCCCCCTTCCCCCTTAGTTTTTTTTTTCCTCCATCCTTGCTTACATTGATTTCTTTCCTAATTTGGTTGATTAATTTAGGTAGCTCATTAACTTAACAAATTCAAATTATTTAAATTTGAAAAGTTACCTAAAATATCACCCCTATTTTAGGAAACTTTTCAAATCCTTGCCTATTGAATTAAAGTTAAATTAGGATGAAATATTTCATCCTAAATTTAAGTCCATGACTTAAGGAAGCATTAATAGCTTCCTTAATTTCTCTTCCAAATCCATAGCCGCCGACCCCCCCTTTGGGTTCTCCATTAATGCTTGCAATTACAACATTCCTAATTGGGTTTAAATATTTTAGGTAACTCAATTAATTTGCAAATTCAAATTCATTTGAATTTGAATTTGTTGAAATTGTTGCCTAAAATACCAATCCTAATTTAGGAAAGTTTCCAAATTTCAGCCATTTAGATTTTAAAATTATTTGGGAATTAATTAAGCTTTTCCTAATTTTATAATCCCAATTAAGAAGGCTTGAATTTATTTCCCAAACCTTTCCCTCTCTTTCTACATGCCGCCGGCCCCCTTAATGGTCCCCACCTCCTAATTAATGTCCAACTTAAAGCTCTTCCCCTTTGGAAAGATTTCAAATCCTCTTTCCCTCTCTCGTAGCCGCCCCCACCCTTACCTAAATACACCCAAATCCTTTCCAAACTAAAAGGATTTGTTGGGGAAATAATTGTTTGAATTCCCTCCATCCCTCTAACCAAAATTTGAACCTAACCTCTCCAAATCTCTCCCCTTGGCCGGCCACCCTCCTCTTGCCTTCTCCTACTTGAATTCTTGAGGGAGACTTCTTTCTCTCAAAGGATTCTACAAGGCGAGCAAAGGATCTTTACATTCAACACTTCGACATTTGGGAGAGACTTCTTCCCTTCCAATTGAACCTTCACGAGGAGCTACGACAAACTTCTTCAACACCTCACCTACTTGTTTTTGGGTTTTGATATGGGTGAACTTCTTCCCATTTTTATTTACTTTTCAAATCCCCCTAATCTTATAGGTGATGGAGATTCACAAGGAGCTGAGCTTCACCTTTGACTAAGCTTAGTAAACGTAGGATTTTGTCTCGCCGTTGCCAAAGCTTAGTAAACATAGGATTGAGTGCCCTTTATTTGCTTCTAATCTTATTGTTAGATTAGGGATTTCTGTTGAAGGCAATTCTATTCGCATGACTTGATTTTCGATGTTGTTTTGATAATCCAAGTGCTTAGTGCGCAACTTAGCGTAAACGGAAGTGACCACTGATGTGATACCACATGTGAAGGAGCTTCTTAAGAAAATTAAAAGTGATTGACAATGGAATTACAATTAAGAGCTTATTGAGATAACAAGTAAAATCATTAAAGGTTCTTAGTTTTTAACTTATATTTTTAAAAAATATGAGCTATAAAGGAGGTCAATGAAGTGGCCCAACAAGGGTGTAAGTGAGTTGAGCCTGCTCGAGCTCAACTCTTTAAGGAGCTCATGAGTGGATCAAGCCACGAGTTCAAGCTCGAGCTCTGCCTAGCTCAGTTCAAAAGCTCGTTGAGCAGCTCGATTAACTTAAAATATATTTTAAAATTAATTTAAATTAAAATTATACATTATATTTTAATATTTTTAAATTAATTCTACATCAAAAATAAAAATTCTTTAAAATTTTTTTATTTAAAACTAAGAAATCAAGCTCAACAATCGAGTCAAGCTCGAGCTTTCAAAACGAGCTCGAGCCTATAAATTTTTTAACAAGTCAAGCTCAAGCTTAGTAAACAAGCAAGCTTATGCTCAAGTTTGGGCTCCAAAAATTCGTGCCCCAGCCTCCCCGTTACTTTTCGAGGGAGTTTAAACGGATTAAGTTCTGGGGGAAATTTTGAGAAGGCAGATTGGGATTGACGATTTCTTTCAAGTGAAAAGCCTTGACTAATTGGCAACTTTGTGAGTCCTTTGGGTGAATTCATCAGCATAATACTAGGAATTTTGTTAGAGCTAAATCTTGGATGACCTGCTCGAAATTTATCTTAGAGCAACTCGAGAATTTAGGTGACTTTAGGACTCTGTGAATTTCGATTTGTAGTGATTCAACCCGAATCTTTAACAAAGACCCTTGAACCTAATCTAGGTCCTCATAGGGACATAATCAACCGACCTCAAGTAAATATGAGTATCTAATTGGCATTTTAATAAATAAAAAACCTCTAAATAATGCTAAACCAAAGAGCCCCTTAGCATGATTGATTTTTCTCATCTTGTGCATATGCTTATTTTGACACTGAAATGCATTGAACTGATAGATTGTTCCTTCTCATATGATTAAAATTATTATTGCAAGCCGGAATAGCAAATATATTTTCCTTTTAAACAAGCCGGTATAGCAAATTATCATAATCGACTGGCGACGGAGGTCGAAAAGACTATAGTCGGGTGACGGTGGTCGGAACAACAATAGTCGGAGGGCAACGGAGGCCAGAAGGACCATTGTCAAGTGACAGAGGTCGGAAGGACAATATTCGGAGGGCGACAGTGATAAAAAAGACTATTGTCTGGCGACGAAGGTCGGACAGACTGTAATTAGAAGGCGATAGTGATCAGAAAGAATGTAGTTTGGAGACGGAGGTCGGAAAGACCATAATAGGCAGACGACAATGGTCAGAAAGACTGTTGTCTGGAAACGAAGGTTGGAAGGACCGTAGTCGACAGCGACAGTGGTCAGATAGACTGTAAACTGGCGACGGAGGTCAGAAGGACCATAGTTGACGGGCGATAGTGG